CATATTGTAAAATCCAGAGAACAACGTTTCATCACGTGCTTTCCTTATCATCCTATGATTTACAACTGAGGATTGGCATGCCCAGACGCAGTTTTATTCAGATAACAGACTAGAAAAAGGATTAGATACCAATCATAGATGGCAGGACCAGTGCAGAAGTGAAAGGAAATATCTTAAAAAAATTTTTGAAAAAAACATTTCTTCTTAGGGGGCACTTATCTACAGTCTAAAACGTATTTTAGGAATTTTTTCATTAAATTCCTCTTTAAACTTCATTAAATAATACAATTTTGTACAAATAATTGAATGTTATGCTACTATTTACAAAAATAAAATCTGAAATCCAATAAAAGATAAGTTCTCTATCATTTTTTCAATTCACAAGTGATTTTGCCCTCACAATAAGACAAAATGGCCCCGGAGAGTATCGGGTTAAGGAGTTATCTCCATTTTGTACAAAACAACCAGGTTTTTCAATTTTGTGCACTACCATTTGACCTCACATCACCTCCATATGTTTTTTGCCAGAAAGTCAGAGGTTTTGTTATGTCATCTTCACTCCCTTGGCATTCACACTCACCATTACATGGACAACTGGCTTCTTCTCGCTCTTTTCCGAAATTTGGCAGAACTGCACACAGAAACTGTTATCAAAAGCTGGGTTTTTTATCAAAAAGAGGAAGTCTAGTGGACAGTGCCTCATCCATTTAAGGGTATTTTTCAATTCCAGACTAAGCCGGGTCCTACCTTCTTTTCTACGCCTTCAGAACATGGAACAGGTGGTTCTTCAAATTCAGTTGTCTCCTTCACCACCACCACACACAGCTCTATCTCTTTGGGGGATGTGGGCATCCTTGGAATCACTCATTCCTTTAGGTTGGGCCCACATGAGGGCCCTTCAATGGTCATTACAGGACCTGTGGAACATTTGCACAGATGCACTGGATTGTTCAGTGAGACTGTTATATTCCACTCTGCTGGATCTCAGCTGGTGGTTGAACAGGGACAACACACCAGTAGATTTCCCTCTATTACATACTGGTCCAAAGATACATATGTTCACAGATGCTTTATTTCAGGGCTTGTGTGCTTGTATAGAAAGTATGGAATTTAAGGGACTTTTGACAGTAGAAGAAGCTTCTCTCTACATCAATCTCTTAGAAATTTTAGCATTTCAACGTGATATGACTCAGGGTCTCGAATTGTTGCAAGGGAAGGTGATAATGCTTCATTCAAACAATTGTACAGTAGTCTCATACATTTTAAAGTAAGGGGCACTCATTCCGGATCTCTGTTTTTGAACAGTGGATCTTCTCCCTCGGGCATACAAACACCACATTGTTCTCCTTGCTTGTCATGTTCGAGGGGTAATGAATCTAGTTGTCAACCAGTTATTTCATCCCAAAAGAGCTTTTTCTGCGGAATGGATGCTTCATTCTCAAGATTTTCACTGGATCAGCTCTTGTCTATGGACACCACAGATTGATGCTTTCAACACACATTGGACTGCTCAGCTCCTGTCCTTCTGGTATCCAGTACCTCACTCTCTGGCTTTGGGAGTAGATGCTCTCAGGCAGGATTGGACAGGTCTTCCTCTTTGTGTTGGGTGGGGAGCTAGACCCTCCTTGTAATTCTGGTTCAGAGATGACACTTCACTATTCGGTTGTGGGAGTGTGGCTCTTCTTTTTGCTCATTTTCTTTCTTTCTATGATCATGGAAGAGGGCCTTTGACTCCTTGTAATTCTGCATGCAGAGCATCATGTCTGCAAGCCATTGGTTGAACTTCATTTGTTCCATATCCTCCTTGTATTTCTGGGGGCAGGAGGTTTTAACTTGTCTCCCGGGTTGAGGAGTTTGGAATTCGGTCCGTAATCCTAGGCTGGATGATCTGTTTCTTCAGGTTGAATGAGGCATGAATTGGCTTCGTAATGCAAAGTTCAGTTGTTGCATTCTGAGCTTTTTCAGTTTGTGGAAGACTTGTTCAATTGGATATTGCTTTCCTTCCCTTTGTAATTCCAGTGGCTCACATGGAACATTCTGTGACTTTTTGGTTGGATGTTTGGGCCTGTAATTTCGAGTTTGGTTTGTTGCATTTTATGCTTCTTCAGGTTGAAGTGAGGGTTTTTCCACTTAGATGTTACTTGCTTTTTCTTCATAATTCTAGTGGCTTGGCATGCAACATACTGTAACTTTCAGGACAGGTTCCCTTCATATCATATTCCTATTATACAGTTATATCATAAGTAGTCTTCATGCCCTAGCCACTACACCTTGGATCTATCTTCATGTCCACAGCCCTGTAAATCCAACAATGAGATGTGGAACCTCATCTGTGTGGTTGGGGCCTGGATGAATGTCATGATAATGAACAATGTTGACTCTGTAGCCAGTTGGTCTTTATTGCCCACATTTAGATATCACTTTATCTGGGCAAAAAAGCTTGTCTGTTCCAGAAGTATTGCAGACCTCCATTAGTGTACTTTATCATATCTCAATTTTGCATACCTGTTTTTCTATGCAGATGCTTTCTGTGTGGATCTTGCCCTCACCAGCCCCTCCACCTGGTCAATGTGGGATTCTAGCTAAAGTGTGAGAGGAGGTAAGTATGTTTCAGAAGCTTACATTTTCTTATACCGAAAATGTATTTTCAATAATACTTGCCTCCTGTCATGCTATCCCACCCTTCCTCCCCACAATAGCTGGTGTTCGGGTCTGATAATCTTGCCAGTCTCAAAAAAGTGAATAAGGAAGAATAATGAGGACCCTATATATGGATTGGGTATAGAGTCACATTGATGTACGTGGAGAGAGTCACAAGATTAAAATCACTAGGGGCAATATAGTGGGTATAAAAACTGGAGCAAGCAAGGGAAAATTTATACCAATGCTTAGATAGGAAAAGAAGAGAACGTTTTGTTGGTATAAAGCTAAAGTGTGAGAAGAGGTAAGTATTGTCAGAAATACATTTTTGGTATAGGAAAATGTAAACTTCTAATTTTTTCTTTTTTATGTTTTGTTTAGATGAGCTCCTAAGGATTAATGATGAGCTGAACAACTTGTTTCTTCGTTACGAAAGATATGACAAGAAAAAAACCCTAGTTAGTCAAAGCCAGCCAGTACAAACTCAGCCAAAACAGGTTGGTAGTAAAAATTGTCTACCATTGCTTTACAGTTATGCTGTTTATCATTATGAAAACATATTAAATGAACACTATTAGGATAATCACCTAATATCAGGAGGACCATATTTTACTGCAAAAGTAGCCTGTTCTTGATGTGGCATAGACTCCTCAAGATGCCAGAAGATAAGGTGATCAGTACTGGGGGCACTTATAAAAAAATTCCTACCTTTACTCATCATAATTCCAGATGAACACAGTACAGGAGGAGCTTGCTGTATTATTGCTAGTTAAATTTATCTGATGAGTGTGTATGTTTTAGGATTTTTTATTATATGTTGTAATATTGCATTATGTGGTTGCGAAAAGTAATTGTTGAGCATTTCAGCCATGAGAAAAGCCTCTCAACAATAACATACGATCAATCTACATTTTTATTCTTTAAATTATGTTACATATTGAAATGTGAACGATAGTGTGATTAATTCCTAACAATTTACTGTAAAATATCCTTCTTGCAAAATATAATTTGGCATCAACATTATTGATGCTTGTGAATGTTGAGCTTGGCATGTAGCACAGCTTTTCAAATGCAGCATGGGAAATATCCATTGTAAAAGGCAGACAGACAAACTCTCGAATAGACACAGACACCATTGTTTGCAATATATATGTTGCATATGTATAAGACTGTTCAGTTTAACAGTTATTATTTAGTGATTTAATATTTGATGACTATTTAATTTTTCCTAACAAGAGTGTTAAAAGTTAATTATTTTAAAAGCAATTTAGTTATGACAAGTTTCGTTACATAACTCTGCATGAGTCTTATGTTGTGTGTCTAGTTTAATTGTTGTACTAGGGTTTTGTAATATTATTGACATCATCTTACTGAAGCTACTAAGTTTTTCTCATTATGTTTAATGTTATTGTTAATAGAGGGCTAGATATTTATAGATTTTTCTGTTGAGAGTTATAAATACATGTAGATACAAAGAAGAAGTAAGCAAGCTAGTAAAAGTGAAAGTAAGACAGAGTTAGTGAGAGATATAGATCTAGACTGTGTTTGTAAGTTTAGCAATAAAGAGTGTATAGTGACGACTTTTAAAATGTTATAATCACAGATTATATTGTAAGAAATAGTGTAGAGAAGAATAATTTGTTTTTTAATTGGGTTCTAAAGTAACTGAACCACCTTGTGTGGACTTTGATGAAAAGGAGAATTATTTAAAGCTCTAGATTCAACTGTGGTAACCAATAGTGTAACAATTTTCTTTTTGTACATAAGTTGGAAAGCTGGAAAAATTGTGATAGTTATAGGACATTGTCTGCTTTTTTGCATGTTATTATTCTGTGTTCTTTGGTGCATTATTTAATTAAATGTAAAGTTATTCAGTGCAGTACTACCATTAGTGTAAAAAAAGTAGGGTTAAGTGTCATCGACAGCAAAAAAAAAAAAGAACCCAGGTTAAGCACTTTATTTCTTGTTTTTCATGTGTGTTCTTTATTTATTATTATAAAAGTAACTAAAATATAAAAAATAGGAAACTTTTTAGGTTAGTTAAAGTTAGATTAGGTGAAATAAATAAATAATATGGTAAAAAGTTTCACATGGTATGTTTGAAAGTGAGAGTTCTGAAATGAATATTCTCAGTGTCATTGTAAGAAAGACTATCTCCAGTTGTTAGGTGAAAGGTGGGAAACAGCCATATTTGAAACATATACCCGCATTTTGTTGTAATTATTGTAAATGATTATAACATAGCACCTCCACAAGAGAGGTTTTGATAAAAAAAATAGCCTGTATTTCAGTCAATTTCATCCTGTAATGTGTCAGATTTAGCCTTTATTTTAAAAGCTGGCAGCACCAGACACTAGTGGGAGGCCTGCCATATTTTAAAGAACCCAACTCCTCCCACAATGAAGATAGCCAGTTTGTGTATATTGTTAACAATACCATAGAAAACATTTGCACTTGACAGAGATTTGTAATATATATTACTTTTGATACAGGTATAAATGTCTTAATTTAATATTGTTATATTGGAGTGTTTGTCTCCATTAATATTGAAAAAATGTATACAAATCAATTTCAATTTATTCTTGTTATACCAGCTGGGTGCTTTAAACTTATCTTGCAGGTTAAGACAAAAGAAATATTTTAAATACAAAAATAATTTCATCATTAAGTATAGCATTGAAATGTGTGGTTGTTTTCTGTGAATTGTTTCCATGTTGTTTGGATTTCTAATATCTTTTAATCTGGCTGAAAGAAATAGAGAAAGGAAAGAACAAGGGAATTTTTATTTGTTAAGCTATTAAATAATGTGACTATATGTGTTCATTTCAACTGCAAGTTGAAAGTAACTGAGGAAAGACAGAACAAAGGAATTTGTATTTGTTAAGTTATTAAATTGTTTAGCTATAAGGTTTAGTGGAAGAAGGTTTGAGGCAAGCTTAATATTATGGCTAGTGATTCCATTGTGTGTATAGAGTTCCAGCAAACAATCTTCTGATGAATTTTTTTTATTTCAATATTTATGTTATCAAAGCTTTATATGAATTTGGAAACAATGAACACAATATTGAAAAAAATTAAAGAATGTTTAAAACACTCATATTAGGAAAATATTTACAAGTGAATAATTAGCATATCAGTAAACTGACATTTTGACACTCATTTTATACTTTACATAGAATAGGTTATCTTTGAGAGGCCACAATGAGATTCTTTTAATACTTAATGTTACACTGACATATTTGATTTTTATTCTTCATATTTAGGAAAATGGAGCTGATGAGAAATCACTAATAGACTTTGGTGAGAACGGTACTGCAGGCAGTGACAATATCCAGGCTCAACTAGCAGGATTGGGTAAGTTGCAAAATTGTTACCTTGGTATATGAAGGTGGAAGATTAAGAGTAACTATTTGAATAATTTCAGTCACTGAAAAACTAAAGTAAATTATTATTCTTTGAAGTACTTTTTCTATAGGTGTACGTATTTATATGAAATAGTCCAAAGTGAGCTTTATACCTAATTGTACACAAGAGCCAAATGAGTGCTACAACCTTATCTTTTACTGAACTAAATAGTGGTACTATCCCTGAAATTAATTTTTGAAAATCACAAAAAAAGAAATGGAAGATATGTACTTCAACTGTGTTAAGCTTGCTGTGGACTGTTTCTCTTATATTTACTTATGGGTATATGTGTATATATATATGATGTACTTCTAGTGTCCTTATCTCATCAAAACTTCAAACTTCTCCAGTATGTTTATCCAATAGAAAGCCACATTGAGATGTTGCAAAGAACCAATCAGTTTTACTGTAATTTTCAAAAATATATAAAGTTATTTAAATTATTCTTTAAAAACCTAGGTGTACTTAGATTTGATATGAAGATATCCACTGTTATCTTTCTTTTGGGGAATATTTTTCTGAGTAAATTAAGAAATAATAGCCTTCTCTTAAAGTTATTTCAAAAATTGTTCATTGTTTTTTTTTTTTTTTTAGTTACTCTGTTTCTTTTTAAATTTTAGTTTGAATTTCATGTTTTTTTTTTTTTTTTTTTTAGTTTACCCTGTTTCTTTTTAAATTTTAGTTTGAATTTCATGTTTTTTTTTTTTTT